TTATTTTCTCACCATTCTGGGGAATACAAGTTTAAGGTCAGATGCAGGCAGGTTGGTTTTCTCCTGAAGCCACTCTGCTTGGCTTGCAGACAGCAACCTTCTCATTGGTCCTCACTTTTTTTTCTTTTTTGAGACAGAGTCTCACTCTGTTATCCTGGGTAGAGTGACCTGGCATCATAGCTCATGGCAATCTCTAACTGTTGGCTCAAGTGATCCTCTTGCCTCAGCCTCCCGAGTAGCTGAAACTGCAGGAGCCTGCCACGACACTGGGGCTAATTTTTCTATTTTTAGTAGAGACGGAGGTCTCACTCTTGCTCAGGTTGTTATTAAACTCCTAAGTTCAAGCAATCCACCCACCTACGCCTCCCAGAGTTCTAGGATTACAGGTGTGAGGCACTATACCCAGCCTTGGGTATCCTTTCTTGATGGTATCCCTTGGAGCACAAAGGTTTTAAGTTTGATGACATTCAGTATGTCTATACTTTTGTCACATGCAATTTTGGTGTCATAGCTAGGCAACGATTGCCTAATCGAAGATCACAAGGACTTATGCCTGTGCTTTCTTCTAAGTCTTTTATAGTTTTAGCCCTGCACTTAGATCATTGATCCATTTTGAGATAAATTTTATATATGGTGTGATATAGGGACCTTCATTTCTTTGCATATGACTATCCACTTGTCCCTGCAACATTTGTTGAAGACTATTCTCTCCCCAGTGAATTATTTTGGAACCCTTGTCACAAATCAGTTGACCATAAATGTGAAGGTTTATTTCTAGACTCTCAATTCTATTTGTGTCTGTCCTTATGCTAGGACCACTCTTTCTTATATTATTGTAACTTTTTAGAAGTTTTGAAATCAAGAAATGTGAATCCTTCATGTTCTTTTTCAGGATTGTGCTGACCATTCTGGTAGACTGTTCTGGTACCTTTTCATGAATTTCCATGTAAAGTATAGGATCTGCTTATTCAGTTTCTGCAAAGAAGTGAACTTTGGATTTCGATAGGAATTGTGATGAATTTTTAGAATCATTGAGAGTATTCTCATTTTAACAATGTTAAGCCTTCTAATCCATGAACATGGGATGTCTTTCCACTTATTTAGATCTTTAATTTCTTTCAGCAGTGTTTTATAGTTTTCCAAGATAATGGGTTTTATACTTCTTTTGTTAAATTTGTTCGTGTGTGTGTGTGTGTGTGTGTGTATATATATATATATATATATATATTTTAGTGAAATTAAAATGGCTTTATTCCACCTGGGTACAGGCAGGGTAAGATTTCCAACTGGGCCAGGAAGAAATCCACATGTGGGTAATGGTGAATGGGGGCTTTAAAGGTCAGGAAGGTGGGGGTCCGGGACATTCCCTTTCCTGGGTTGGACATCTATTTTTTTTCTTTTTGATGCTATTTTAAGTGGAAATCTTCATTTCATGTGGATGTTTGCCAGTGTGTAGAAAGAATTGATTTTTACATACTTATCTAGTATCCTGCAACCCTGCTAAACTCATGTATTAGTTCAAATAGTTTTTAGTGGATTTCTCAGGATTTTCTACATACAAGATCAAATCATCTGTCAGTAGAGATAGTTATAGTTCCTCTGTCCACTGCCATGTATTTTTTTGTTTTTTTGTTTTTTTGATTCTCATTTCTCTCCTCTCACCAGTGTAAGACTGGTCATCATTGTGGTCCCAGTGCACAGAAAAGGGCCTGGCACATGCTGGCGCTCAGTTGTTTGAATTAATGAATAACTGAGCCTGCACAGCTAAGCTCAGGTGATGTCTGGGGTCCCCAGTCCTCCTGCAGCACCTCTTGCCTCTGGCCCTGACCTTTCTGCTTGTCCTCAGTCTTGGGCTGCAGAGGGTTGCTGGAGCTCACCCTTCTGACAGAGTGGCAGCATCCTGGTGACTGAGTTCCCTTTATCCCCAGTGTCTTCATCAGATAAAGTGCATCTCAGAGAAACACCAAGCACCTCATGGAGCTCACCTCACTGCGAGTTCCCAGGAGCCCATGAGGGAGGGTGGTGTCCCAGGGAATGTGAGGGCTGTAGCCCAGTTCTGTCTAACCCAAGTCATGTTGCTCCTTGTCACAGCCTTGATAGGAGCACGGGATAAGCCTTAGTCACATCCTCCACGCCTGTGGAGCCAGGTGGGGTTGCTTGGAGGGAGCTTCGCACTGAGTCTGCCTGAAGGGGAGACTTGGGGGCTTTCATTGGCCAAAGAAACAGAACTCTTTTGTTGTTACTGCGGTTCCCCCTCCCTGGGACTGTTTCCCCCACCTGGCTTCTCCCCACTTGTCATTCAGGCTTGAGCTTGAATATCACCTCCCAGCAGTGGTCAACTTCCTGGACTCACCCCTTCCCCCACTCCCTCCTGATGACACTGAGTCATCTCTGGGTGGATGCTGTCCACTGCAGTGGCTCACTGCTCAGTGCCTGCTTGGCATTCAGAGACCTGAGCCGGGCCTAGAGTGCATGGCAGGGCATCACTGGCCCACAAACCCCACAGTTCCACCTGCCAGGCTTCCCCGGGCTCCACAGCTGTGAGCTGAGGTGATGGCTGAGAGTCATGACTCTGAAGTTGGACAGTCCTGGTTCAAATCCTGCTTTGCCAAACACTAGGGATGTGAACTTGGATGGCGATAGGGTGCGTCTCTGGGCCCTCAGCTATAGAAGGGGGTGGCAGAGAGCCCCCCTTCTGAGACTGCTAAGAGAAGCAAATACCTCAGGCCCCAACCTGGCAGTTAGCTCAAATTCCTTAGCTCAATTCCTTTTCACTCAGGATGTAAAGAGGTGACTTCCTAAGCTGTTCACTTGGCAGTTCTGGTTAGGTGGAATGAGCTGAAGATAATGTCTCTCACACTACCCCCTCCCATGGCCACCCCTTCCTGAGCACCGGTTCTACTAGGCAGTTCTTCCAGGCAGGCTATGGGGGGGCTGGGGAGCTACAGAGATGCACAGCTCTTCTCTGCCACATGCAGCTGCCACCCCCAGATCCTGCTGAGGCTTCTGCAGCAGCTGGAGAAGTTTCGATGAGCTGCTCCCACCTGCTCCCACTCACCCCCAGGGCACGGAGTGCCTCCCCCTGAACAGGGTACTGAATTTTTCAGCGAGTCATGGCTCCCAGGCTCAGGAGGAACTTGAAGGGCTAGAAGTGCAGACCCCAGTTAGTGTTGTTGAAGCTAAGGGCCCTGGTTGGTATCTCCACACTAGAGCCGGGCTGCTTGGGTTTAGGCCCTACTCTGTTCTTCGTAGTGGTGGGCCTTGGTGAGAGTCTTAACCCCCTACCCCACAGCTCCTGATTTATTTGAGTGTGGAAGTGAGCTGGGATTGTAGCTGTCCCAGATGGTGTTTGGAAGGGTGTGGCCTGCGCTGCTATCTCCAGCACTTGGAGTGGGCTCCAGGGACTGCTAGCCTTGGAATCCTGTGAACACTGCCTGGCACATGGGAGGCACTACATGAATATTAGCTACTGTGGTTATTGTCATTGTTATTAGTGGTGAAGAATGGGGCTCTAGAGTCCAGAGGAACTGGGCTTAGAGCCCAGCTCAGGTGTTGGTGATGCTAGGCAGTTTGCCTCAGTCTCCTCATCTGTGAAATGGGCTGAGAGTAGTCCAGCCTGGGAAGATTGTTGGGAGGGTCCCTTGAGGTGGTTGGCAGGAGCTGGCCTGGAGGAAGTGATGGCAGTGGAAGGAGCCACTCATGGTCATGGAGCAGGGTAAAGTGGGCAGCACTGGGAAGAGAGGGAAGCTCAGCAGGTTATTAATTCCCTGGGAAGGAGCTGCTGCCCCAGCCTGACCTCACCCCAGCCAAGTGTTCTATATTTTTTTATTACATTTTTTTTGTTTGTTTTTACAACAGTTAGACAAGTCTGGTTTTTTTGTTTTTTTTTTGTTTTTTTTTTTTTTTTTGAGACTTAATTTCACTCTATCAGCCTGGGGAGCGTACCATGGCATCTTTGTAGCTCATAGCAACCTCAAACTCCTGGGTTCAAGCAGTCCTCTTGCCTCAGCCTCCCGAGTAGCTGGGAATACAGGCGCCTGCCACAATGCCCAGCTAATTGTTCTATTTTAATTTTATTTGTTTATTTATTTTGAGACAGAATCTCAGTCAGTCACCCTGGGTAGAGTGCTGTGGTGTCATAGCTCACAGCAACCTTGAACGCTAGGGCTCAAATGATCCTGTTGCCTCAGCCTCCTGAGTAGCTGGGACTACAGGCGCCCACCACAACGCCCAGCTAGTTTTTCTATTTTTAGTAGAGACAGTGGTCTCATTCTTTCTTAGGCTGGTCTCAAACTCCTGAGCTCAGGCAATCCACCCTCCTCGGCCTCCCCGAGTGCTAGGATTACAAGTCCATTCTTATTGTGAAAATGCAGTCACTTTGTGAAATAAAATAAGAGGGAGTCCCACTGTCTCAGTCCCACTGGCAGCCGGACTTTTGCCCTGTCCCTGGTATCCAATAGTCCCCAACCTTTATGGCACTAGGGAAGACAGTTTTTCCACAGGCTGGGTGTGGGGGGCAGGTGGGGAATGGTTTTGGGATGATTCAGGCGTGTTACATCTCCACCTCAGATCATAAGGCCCTAGATTCTCCTAAGGAGAGCCCAACCTAGATCCCTTGCGTGTACACTTTACAATAGGGTTCTTGCTCTTTTGAGAATCTAATGCACTGATCTGATAGGAGGCAGAGCTCAGGTGGTGATGTGAGACGGCCTTACTAAGGTGAAGAAGCTTTGCTAGCTCCCCCACCGCTCACCTCCTATTTTGCAGCCCAGTTCTTTTTTTTTTGCAGTTTTTGGCCGGATCCAGGCTTGAACCCGCCACACTTGGTATATGGGCCCAGTGCCCTACTCCTTGAGCAACAAGCATCGCCCTGCAGCTCAGACCTTAACAGGCCTCAGACCAGTATTGGTCCAAGACCCAGGGGCTGGAAACTGGCTGCATAAGGAGGGTCCCCTGGCAGTGATCTGTACTTGTGCTTACCTGTCCCCTCTGGTCTGCAGGGAGGAAGTGCAGGAGAACTGCGTGCGGTGGCGGAAGAGGTTCACCTTTGTGTGTAAGATGAGTGCCAACCCGGCCACGGGCCTGCTGGACCCCTGCATCTTCCGCGTGTCCGTGCGCAAGGTGAGGCTGGGCAGGGGCTGTGAGCCCAGGGTGAGGGGGAGTGTGGGGCCACTGGCCTGGGGGCTTTAGGCCCCTCTCTGACTTACTCCCCACCAAGGGAAAATGGGAGGACTTGCTCTGCCCTTTTTCTTAACCTCCTCTCAGGTTTGGGGGGACCCAGGGAGACACTTGAGGTCTGTGGGACTCCTTAGTCACCCTACTGCTGTTCTCCCTCCCTTTACAGGAGCTGAAAGGCGGGAAGGCTTACTCCAAGGTAAGAGGCTGTGTGAAGGGGTAGCGGGATGGGACAGAGTGGTGTAGAATGGGCATGAGAGAAGCTTCCAGACAGACTCCCAGCAAGCTGCCCCAAATAGGAGATAGTCAGCTCTGCATGAGATGTGTGGATTTTTAAAATATCTTCATTGATAGTCTTAACCTAAAGGCAGCACGTGCTCATTGTGACACCAAAGGCACGGAAGTTCACAGAGTGAAAGGGATGGTTTCTGTCCCCTTCCTGTCTTCAGGCCTGCCCCCTACATCCCATCATTGGGATAGGATAGGATGTTTCCAGACCTTTTAAGAAAAAGAAATTATGAAATGATTGTGAAGTGAATACAAAACACATGCATTTGGTTCAGGGAAGTGTAAAATGAGCAGCCTTTATGTGTGTGTACTTCTGTGCATGCAAACAAGATGATTTTTAAAAGATACAAGTACACAGATTTGCAGCTTGGTGTTTTACTTAGCCAACACATTGTGGGCATCTTCTTGTGTTATCACAAATTTCCATGTGCTTTCTAATGGCAGCCACATACCATTGCATGGCTGGTGACAGTTGATTCAGCGAACCCCTGCTGTTGGACATCTGTGTTGTTGCCAGGGTTTCACTGCACCCACAGACAGTTCAGCCCTATGCAGTAAAATCTTGTCTTCTGGGGAAAGAGAGAAGACAGCTCTGGCTTTGATTGGCTGTGCTCTGCCCTCAATCCCTCATCTTTATGGGGGACCCTGGTCTCTCCTCATCGGCTCCTAGGAGGCATGGTAGAAATGGAGGGTGGGCCCTGCCAGACAGGAGGGGAAGAAGAGGAAGTGCTGTTGCCTCACCTCTCACCCTGCCTGGAAGGCCTGAGGGAGGTGGTGCCTAGGGTGCGGCCCTTCCACTGATCCTGAGCTCAGTCAGCTGGGCTGTGCACTCTGCCATGGCCCAGGGTGCTGACATTCCTCTCTAGCAGCAGAGGGCAGGGTGGCTAGAACCAGGTGTGGAAGGTGCTGTCACAATGGAAATTTCTCCTGTTGATTCACGTGGGTGAGGACAACTGAGAGCATCTTGTCTCCACCAGCACCTAGCGCCAGTCAGATACTGCCAGGCCCCTCCCTTCCGTTCCATAGCCAAACGCCTGTCATTATATTAGAGGAGGAAACCAAGGCCCTGAGAAGTGGTGGGATGAGGTACTGATCTGGCCTGGTTTCAGTCCAGCCTGTCAGTTTAGCTGTGTGTGCCTAGGCGGGCCTCCTCCCCTCCCTGAACTTATTTCCTCACCTGTAAAATGGGGTCTGAGTCAATGGCTGAGCTGGGATCTGAATGCAGTTCCCTGATTCTAGTGCGAGCTCTTTTGGGCCTTGTAGTAGAGGCTTGTGCACAGTAGGCCCTGATAAGCAACACTTACTGGTTTGGTTGTCCCTGGTGTCCCAAACCTGGAACCATCTCACCTTGACCTCAGTTTCCCTTCCAGGTCTGGCAGACTTGGCTGCCATCTTAGGGCCTTCCTAGCTCATTCCTGCTTCCTGCACTTTCTCCCACTTCCCTCCCTACCTCGCTGCATTCAGCATCAGAGCTAAAGGCAGCACATGCTTCCCCTGCCCCCCACCCCAGCCCCTCACCCTGGCCTCCACCAGGGGCACTTCCCTAGGGGTCCCTGCCTACCCTGCAGAGTGTCTGTTCCCTTCCTCTGCATCATGCCAACCCACCACCCAGTTCCCATGGGCCTTCTCTTCTCCCCTGCCTGTTTGCCTGGCAGCTCCCGACAGCACGGCCTTGTTTCCCAGGGAACAATGCATCTGTGTCATGGACAACAATGTCCTTTCATGTCAAGAGCACTGGCCCCAGTGCATGCTGGGATGCAGCACAAAGGATGCTTTGTGCAGCTCAGGGATGTGAGCTCCTGGCTTTGCCACGCTGGTGCTGCCGACCCAGGGCCCCTGTCCTTGGGTCCCAGTTATGCAACAGTCGGGGCTGTGGGGTGGTTCCAAGGGCTATGTCTCTCCCTCCCCCACTTCTGCCAAGTGACCCCTCTGGGAGTGTGCCAGCCAGGAGCCCACACTCCCTGAGGCCTCCCTCACACTTCTCTCCCTCCCAGCTGGGCTTTACTGACTTGAACCTGGCTGAGTTTGCGGGCTCAGGCTCCACGGTGCGCTGCTGCCTGCTGGAGGGATATGACACGAAGAATACCCGTCAGGACAACTCCATCCTCAAGGTACCAGGGCCCCAGGATACACCCAGCTCCTGGTCAAAGTTCCTTGGAGGGCTGTTGGAAATTCAGATTCTCACTTGGACAGGCAGTGAGGGACATTGGGAGGATGTGGGCCCTGGAATCAGGAAACTACTATCAGAGGCCTAGCTGGCTGCTGGCCTCAGTTTACCCATCATGGTCATAGGGTGGACCCTGATAGTCTCTTTAAGGGTTTAGCAAGCCTTTGGGTGAGGCTTGCTGTCTTTTATCACAGTGCTGACAGTAGCTCCGTGGTGGGGTGTGTATCTGTGATTAGTCCCAGCTGTGCACAGGAGTGGATGCAGGTGCAGAAGTAAAGTCATTGTCTGGGGTCATACTCAGAGCTGGCACTTTGTCCTCAGCCCTTTGCTGCCTGGGCCCAGCTCCTAACCATGCGCCATGTGACAGAAGGCAGCCTGGCTCCTGTGGAGGGTCATCAAGCATAGCAGCTGCTAAGGGCCCTGGCACAATCCTGCCTTGGCCAGCCACCTGTAGGTGTCCAGTGGTCTAGGCAGCTCTTGCCTTCCAGGCAGCTGCCTCTTTAGCCTCTTGGGAACAGAAGTGTCTGCTGCCAGCACATCCCTTCCTGTGTTTCCCCACCCTTCCTCATGGCTGAGAAAACCGTCCGGACACCACCGCTGCAAACTGACCCAGCGGGACTGCCTGTGTATAGAGTAAAGCTGGGCAGGGCCTCTTGGACCTCCTAGATCCTTTGACTTCTTGGAAGAGGTCCAGGCTGATGGTTGTGGTCACCAGGGCCTTTTGCCCTCCCCTCTCGTAGCCCCATGCCCTCTCAGGCCAGATCAAGGGAACTGGGGGACAGGTGGCCTCAGGGTCAAGGCCAGCTCCCCCTACACCCTGCCTATAGGGTCTTAGGCTGTCACTTCCCTTCTCTGAGTCTTGGTTCCTTGGTCTACAGCCTGGAGCTATCACCTACTTTGTAAGCTGCTATTATGGCTAAGTGAAATCATCCCTAAAAAGCCTCATGTTATAGGTTGTGGCCCTGGGATCTGAGCACCTCTTTCCTACCCAGTTGCCATTTACCTGTTGCTCCATCTCAGCCCAGATTTTGGGATCCAAACCTTGTCACATCTGGGCCATTGCAACATCTTTGCCCAAGTGTATGCCAAATTTCTAATGGCTTTGTGCTATGCTCTGCTCATCAGCTGCCGCCAAGCCCCTGCCCACTACATGGGACTCTGTGAGCCCTGAGTCCGCCTACCTTGTCAGGTCCATGGCACCTCCCCACCCCATCCCCACGCAGGACTTTTCAGGCCCTCTCCTGCTTGCTGTGTTGAACTCTGTGCCCCTCACACAGGATGGAGGTGAACACGTGACCCCTCCTACGAAGGTCTTGGTCTTGTCATAGTGCTGTAATTAGAGTAGCTAACTTTTGCAGCATGCTTACTCTGCTGGGCACCAGGGGAAGTTTGGGCCTCATCTCGCTGTGTCCTCCCCCACCGCCCCATTAGGCAGGCCTTGGGGTCATCTCCATCCTTCACATGAGGCTCAGAGAGGTTAGGTGACTTCACCAGGGGTACTCAGCCAGACAAGCGCAGAGATGGGGTTGGAGTCCAAGCTCTCTGAAGCCAGAGCCAGGAGGCTGCTAGGGGCTGTACTTGGACTGGGCGGGGGTGGCCCAGATGTGGCTGATTCCTCCCTTTCCTATAGGTCACCATTGGCATGTTCCTGCTCTCTGGGGACCCTTGCTTCAAGACGTGAGTGGCACAGGCTGTGGGAGGGGTAGGAAATGGGGAGGGGACTCTTGGGCTCCCCTGTCATCTGGTCCTGAGGCAGGGCACCCTAGTTACACCTATCTGTCTTTCCAAGGCCACCATCCACTGCCAAGTCCATCTCCATTCCGGGCCAGGATTTCTCCCTGCGGCTGACGTGTAAGGGTGGTGGGACAAGCAGTGGTGGCAGCAGCAGCACCAGCTCTCTGACGGGGTCCCGGCCTCCCAAACCCCGGCCCACCATCCTTGGCTCAGGTACCATCCCCTCTGCCTGCTCTTCCCTCACCAGTAGCCAGCTTCTGAGATGTGTCCAAGTCCCCAGGAGATGCATGCTTGGAGGAAGGAGGTGGTGGCCCTGTGGTCTGAGTGCCTCATAAGTGCCAGCCACGACACAGGCCTGGGATTGCAGCAGTGCCCTGTACCAAGAGGGATGTGGCCTCCTCGGCCATGTGGTCCTCAGTCTAGCACAGAGGTTCTTAACCTATGTGTTGTGACCCTTTGTACCAATGAAAATACATCACAGCATTAGGAAAGTTGAGAATCACTGGAGCAGAAAAGACAGGTGTTAGGCCTTAAATAAGTCACATGCATGTTCATGTACAGATGTGTCCAGACCTTGGGGAGACAGGCACAGAAGGTGGGATCCATCCGACACCTGGGAAGGTGGTGGGGCATCTGAGGTGGTGGTATCTGAGCTGCAGCCTAGGGGGTGGGGCTCTATGTACCCAGCAGCGGGATGGGCTGGGAGCTCTTGCTCTCCTACTCACTCTATGACATTGGTGATGTTGACTGGCCAGTTCACCTCCCCAGTCTCAGTGTCTTTTGGAAAATGGGACTGAGAATAGTATTCACATTTTAGGCTACCCTCCTGCAGCAGATGTGGTACCTGCCTGGCTTATAGTAAGTGCTCAGCAGGCACTTCTGTTAAAGTAGCATTACGACCGATGTTATGACTCCCCCAAGGAGATGGTGTAGCAATTAGGAGGCACTTGGCAACCCTGCTGCCAAGTGTTTGCGGGGACCCCCAACCTGAAGCTGGGCTCCTAAGGACATTAGTGAATGAGCAGGGGATGTGGGGGTGGGAGTGAGCAAGTGGGAGTGTGGCAGCTCTGCAGGTGTTTGCTGGTGATTCTGCCCCAGGGCCTGGGAAGGGACCCTCTGACTCCCAGGGCCTGGCCTTCCACCACACCACTCCGTTTCTTTTTACTTTTTTTTTTTAGCGCAGTTTTTTTTTGGCCGTGGCCAAGTTTGAACCTGCCACCTCTGGTATATGGAGCCAGCGCCCTATTCCTTTGAGCCACAGGTGCCGCCCCCACGCCACTCCCTTTTTTCCTGCAGACCCAGCCAGTTGAAAGCCCCGAGCAGAAAGCTGGTGTTGGCTTGGCATCTGTAGCTCAAGTGGCTGGGGAACCAGCCATATACACCAGAGCTGGCAGGTTCGAATCCAGCCCAGGCCCACCAAACAACAGTGACTACTATAACCAAAAAATAGCTGGGCATTGTGGCAGGCGCCTGTAGTCCCAGCTACTTGGGAGGCTGAGGCGCGAAGATCTCTTAAGCCCAAGAGTTTGAGGTTGCTGTGAACTGTGACGCCACGTCACTCTACCCAGGGTGACAGCTTGAGACTCTGTCTCAAAAAGAAAAAAAAGCTGGTGTTCTTCTTGCTGGCCTGGGGGCTGTATACAGGAATAGGGGCTTCCCAGCACAATTACTCCTTCAGCTTCAGGCTGGGAGTCCCCAAAGGAGTGATCTATCTGGGGACAAGGCCTCTTTCAGGCATATGGGATTTAAGCACCCACTTGCCTCTGTGGCTGGTTCCTCCCTCCCCCAAATGCTATAGGGGACACGTGGCTGTGGTGGGCACACAGGCAGGCCTGGGCTCTAGCCTGGTGTGTGCTTTTCTCAAGGGGTTTGTGGATGATCCTTTCCTATGTCTACAAGAAGATCTAATGTAGGGGTCCTCAAACTTTTTAAACAGGGGGCCAGTTCACTGTCCCTCAGACCGTTGGAGGGCCGGACTGTGGGCCCCGGAACAAGTTGGCTGCTAAGCAGGACAGGCAGCGGTAGCAAAAACACCTGGCAGGCCGGATAAATGTCCTAGGTGGGCTGCATGTGGCCAGCGGGCCGTAGTTTGCGGACTCCTGAGTGGGTAGGGACTTAGAGCATGGGGTGTGTCCTGCTTGGTCCCTGTACTTCCTGCTGGGGAATGCCAGGATAGTTTGTTTTGAAGTGGGTGACCTGAGACAAGGTTGGGCTGTTGGCCTGTCTCTTCAGGTCAGCCTGCTCCCCTCCCCCACCCCACTTCCCTTCACCCTGTTCCACTGTTGCTTCAGTGACCTGAGCTCATTCCAGTCACAGGGCCTGTGTTTGTGCTGCTCACTCTGCCCAAAAGGCCTGTTTGCTGGTGCCTTATCTGGCTCTCTCACTCCTATGTGCTGTGAAGGTCTTGGCATTAAGGCCATCTCCTTGGAGAAGCGTTCTCTGCACGTCATCAGACCAGGCCAGGCCCCCAATATGTGCTGCTAACTGTGGTTGTGGGTAATGGCGGCTCAGTTTTTATTCCATGTTTTTCCTCTGCACCTCTGGTTCTCCCTACCCTAGGTTTTAGCTCAGGTACCTCAGCTACTTGAGGCAGGTTGCTGCTTCTCTGAACCTTAGGTTTTGGGTCTGATAATAGAAGTATGTGGTGCCCCCATAAAAGGCCTAGTGAGGGGACAGGGGTGAAGGGTGAGACACCACTGGGTAAGCTCTGCCCCACCCCCTTTTTGTTTCCAGGGCTACTGGAGGAGCCAGACCATAACCTGTCCAGTCCCGAGGAGGTATTCCACTCCGGCCACTCCCGTAACTCCAGCTATGCCAGCCAGCAGTCTAAGATCTCTGGTAAGTGGCTGCTTGGCCCTGCTCCTGCAGCCTGCGGAGTCCCTGGGAGTCCCCAGGATCCCCCATGATGACCCTCTTTCATGCTTCCCTCCACTAGGCTACAGCACAGAGCACTCGCGCTCTTCCAGCCTCTCGGACCTGACGCACCGCCGGAACACATCCACTAGCAGCAGCGCCTCCGGTGGCCTCAGCATGACAGTGGAGGGCCCTGAGGGCAGTGAGCGGGAGCACCGGGCCCCTGAGAAGCCACCACGCCCACCACGGCCTCTGCATCTGTCAGACCGTTCATTTCGGTGAGTCTTGCTGCTCTGCTTGGCTCCCTGAACCTCTGCTTCTTTAATACAAGGACAGGAGGGGCCCCACCTCAGAGGGTTGGATTGTGACAATTCATCCAGTTAGGGTTCAGCCCTGCCCTGGCATGCAGCAAATGCTCAGCCTTTGGGTGCTGTTTGCGGTATTGTGTATCAGCCAAGAGCACGGTTTGTGGGCCAGACAGACCTGGGGTTGAGCCTCAGATCTGCCACTTACATGCTGTGTGGTGGTGGCCAAGTTACTTATCCCCTCAGTGCCTGGTGTTCTCGTCTATAAAACCAAATAATAACCCCTGCACCCCAGGCGGTTGTGAGGATTGAATGAAGCACAATGTGGAACGTGTGTAGAACATTCTAAGTGCTGTAGCCCTTCACTGTTGTTGTTTTTTTGTGCTTGTTTCTGCCCTTACTGTTGGGATTCTGCCCTATCCCAGGCGGAAGAAGGACTCAATGGAGAACCACCCGACCTGGGTAGATGACACTCGGATCGACGCAGACGACATTGTGGAGAAGATCATGCAGAGCCAGGACTTCACAGAGGGCAGCAACACAGAGGGTGAGCTGCCCGTGCTGGGAGCCAGGGGCTATGCTGCCTACTCTAGGGGGCACCCCTGCCTGGCTCAGCCTCTATCCTCTCTTATATCCCCACAGACAGCAACCTCCGGCTATTCGTGAGCCGTGATGGCTCCGCCACTCTGAGTGGCATCCAGCTGGCCAACAGGTACGGGTAAAGTTCAGGGGAGGGTCACCAGGGTGGCCTGATGAGCTGGGTGCTGGGGGTGCAGCAGTGAACAACACAGATTGCTGCCCGTGTGACTTGTTACGGGAACTATGCAATTGGTGCCCTCTCATGAGCCTTCATTCAGAGCATGTTTACTGTGTGCCTGGCTCCCTGTGTCCTTTTGGCTCAGTGAATGAATGAGTGAGTGAGTGAAGGAGCCTCCCACGTGCAGGCTGTGCTGACAGCATCTGCTGTTCTGCCCAGTCAGTGGGGAAGGTGCCCTCTGAACATCCAGGACTGCCTTGGCTGGTTAGCCCCCTCACGCTGCCCTGCTGACCCCTGCTGGCTGAGGCTTGAAATTGCAGTCACCGTCTCCTGCCTAGCCTCCTGGGCTGCACTGGGTGGGGTGGGCAAGAAGAAAACAGGGGGCCCTCTGTGGACATTTGCAAATATCCCTCCCTAGCCCCTCTGAAAATGAGGAGATGGATTTAAGGGTGGGAAGAAACCAGTACAGTTGGCAACATCAGAGCAGAGCTACATGACGAGCCCTGGATGTCTTAGCAAGGAAAAGAGCTCATCAGATTCCCTGACTTTCCACTGTCCTCTTAGCGAGCCTCACAGTCCCTCTGAGCCTCAGTTTCTTCATCTGTCAAGTGGGGCATGGTGCAGTTCCTGCCTGCCAGGGTTACTGTAAGGATAGGGTGGCACACCTGGGTATGTAAGCTTCCAGTGCCCTGGAAGGACTTGGGTATAGCCTGTGCCAGCTCTGCGATCCCTGTGGGCTCTGACACTTGAAATTGTGTCACCCCAAGCAAGAGACTTCACACTCTTGAGCCTGAGTGTTAGCCCTTTGCAAAATGAGGCTAGGTAACAGTGCCTGCCTTTCACAAACTTCCAAGGCCTGGCCCAGGGTATGCTCCTTAAGTGGAGCATTGAGAAAGACAAGCTGACTCATCTCTCCCCCGCAGGGTCTCTTCTGGGGTCTATGAGCCAGTCGTGATTGAAAGCCATTGAGGAGCAGGTGTCCAGGCTGGAGAAGGGTCCTGCCTTCTCGGGTATCCAGACCCACGTCATTCCACGAGGAACCTTCCCATTTGGATCACCATTCGCACCACATCTCTGTGCCTCCTCCAAGCACTCCAGCCCATACCTGTTCCCTAAGCATCATTCCATTGTCCTCCCATCCATGCCGGGAGCCTCCTGGCCCAAGAGGGCCCAGGCACCACTGTGAATATTCTCCTCTGAACCACTAGAGGGCAGGACAGGTGGGCAAGAGGAGCCAGCCAAGACCAGCTATGCTGGAGACCGACCTGGCCCACTTGCAGAGGACATGCGGCAGCACCTGAATATATGGGGATGTTTGTGGCTGAGGGCCTGTCCATTCCAGGGGCACTGGCTTTGGTCATGCCCTGGCAGAGCCTTGCTCCATTGTCCCCTTTCCCTGGGGAGGGGGGCAGACTACCCCTGGAATCCTGCCACCTGTGACCCTTTGACTGCTTAGTGCTTCAGCTTTCCCTTCCCTGTGTCCTGGGGGACCTGCTGGCGGCCTCCTCCTAGGAGCCACAACCTCAGACCTGGCCCACACTCCGGATTGAGACCCCACCTTCCCCAGCGAATGTTCTCCTGCTGCCCTGGCAGCCTGCACTTTGCACATGCTTGTCCCCAGTGCAGCACCATTGGCCCTCTCCTCCTGACCCCTTCCCAAGGACTCCTGGTCACTGCCTGCTGTGCAGTCAGAGGCTGGTGTCCAGCAGCCCGGCCGGAACGGGATGCTGCTTCTCCCTCCAGGTAGCTCCAGCTCAGTCTGCGCGCTGAGGGTGCCCTCTGCTCAGGGCTGGGTCCTGAGCAGCTGGTTTCTTACAGGAAGGTTGGGGTAAGCAAAGCCACTTTCTCTGCCCTCAGAGTGAGCTGACCCAGGCTGGGGTGGATGCCAACAGAGGCAGGTGGGCTGTGACTGGACCACCCGGAGCTGGCTTCCTGGCTGGAAAAGCTGTAGTCTTCCTCTGGAAGCATCCCCCCTTTTGGGCAAGGGAGAGTTGGGATCCTTTAAGGGGTATGCTTTCCCCGCAGGGAGCAGTCTGGCCCTGCGCCCTGGCCCCTACCCTCACTAAAGCCTCTGCTCTTAGCACTTTCCCCCTGGTCCTTGTAACCTGCTTGAAGGTGGATTCTGGCTGCCAGCCAGCCCCTGGACAGACTCTCCTGCCCCTTTTAAATATCACTTGTGTAAACCCAGCAGGCTGGTGTTTACTTAGCCCTGTAGGTTTTTTCTGTTCTTTTTTTTTCTTTCTTTTGATTGAGTTCACAGTTAAATATTGCCTCCACCCCCAGGTGAGGGGAGGTCCTTCTCTTCTCTGCCCCATCTGCTGGCTGGGTCCAGCAGGCTGGGGACCCAGCTGGGGAGCATGGGTGTTCTCCCCAGGCTGGGAGCATCCTTGCCCAGCTCCCTAGCTGGCCAGAGTAGGGTTCTTGGTCTAGGAACTCCCTGGCATTGGGACCAGAGCATTTCTAGGGTTTTGTTGTTGTTGTTGTTTTACTGATCTAACTCTTAGAAAATGAATGTTGGAAGGTGCCTGCCAAGGCAGGATGGAGCATTTGCTCAAGTTGGAGAAGGCTCTGGTCTGCCCAAGAGTCCCTTTCTGCCCCCACAGAGATACTGGCACTTTAAAAGGAAACTGGCCACACAGTCTCCAGATGATGAATTGGCCCCCTGAAGGTGGAGGAATGCTGTCCTTCCCTTCTGTCGGTGTCATCTCACCCACCCCAGTGGGGAGGTACATTCAGGGTATTTGGGATATGATTCAAAGTTCTGGGACTTCAGGCCCAGAACAACATTGGCTTTGGTGCTGTTGGGGAGATCCCTCCAAACCACGAGTCTCAGCCCCAACCCCACCAAGGTCTGGGTTTGGCAGTCACCCCAGAATGAGACAGAGCCTGCCACTTGCTCCCATACCAGGCCCTGGGCAGGGTAATTGGGCCACCTGAGAATTTGGCCACAACCAAACTGATGCTGACTGGAGCCAGAGGCCCAGAGTCTTGGCCTTGTCCCCATGAGGGAGTCCTTTCTTCAGCACTCTTGCCCCCTTGAGCTCAGTGAATTCCCACCAGGTGCCCCTAGCTCCTGGACTTCAAATTCTATATATAGAGAGATGGAGAGACTATATTAGAGATATTTTTGGAAGGAATTGGTCTATGCAATGCCTGTTTGGAATCTTCTTGAAAGTTTAATGTTTTTACTGGGAGATATAAAGAAAATAAAAGTCTACAATATTTTTAGGATTTTTTTTTTCTGTTAAGCCCCACAAACTGACCATATCTGCCTCCATGATCTGCCAGGAGGGAGAATGTCCATGTTTTCCTCTGTCTTCAGAGAGGTGATTGGGAGGAGGGATCTTTTTTTTCTTTAATTCCCCTCCTTTGTAACAGAATGTTGCCACCACAACTTCCAGATCAGTGGGCTGTGTTTGTATCTGTGTCCCAGCTTCTACTGTAGAAAATAACATTGTAAGGGGAAATCAGCCTAATGTCAGTGTCTTGGTTTGGGGAAAAAAATTAAATATTGCGGATTTTGTTTGTCTTGCTGAGTTTTTTGTTTTTACCTTGTTACTTTACCACGTTGACTTTGAGGTCAAAGACAACATCAGAAGGAAGCCAGATATGTAAAGTGACATTCCAAGGGTGGGGAAGATATAGGTGACTAGGTTTCTCCCAGTCCTGAATGCAATCATAATTATCACCCCCTTGATTACTCCAGAGTTCTGGGGAGGAAACAGTCCCAAAAGGCAGTTACTTGCTATACCTACTGATAACTTTAACTTCTGAAACCTGTTATAACTGCTCTATGGCCTTTCCCTGCAATCAGGTAGCCTTTAAGGAATGTGCCTAAGGACAAATAACTGTGCCTCAGTTTCTTCTGTTTCTTCCATCTGGATCAAATGAGACCAGGATTAAACAACCTGAACTACAGGAGATCCCATGTTCCCAAATTTGCATGCCTCAGGCTAGCATTGTTTACAGCTCAGGCTGGGCTCCTCACCCCTGTACCTGACTGTCCCTAGTTATACAGGAGCTCAGAGGCCTAGCCAAACTTTGGGACGGCCAATTCACTCTGGGTTTTTAATAAGCTCAGAGGTGACAAGAAGCCTCAGTAGTTTTGGCATGGTCAGAAGGAACCAGGCCTCTGTCTCTGTCCCAGAACAGCCATTATCCCTACTCCCTCTCAGGGTTGACCTCCACTTGTGGCCCCTTTAAGACCTGAAGGGGATTCTCAGTCTCTTCTCTTCTATGCACACCTGGGAAGGGAGGGCAAAATTGGCTCCTGGCTGAGCCTTTCCTCCTGAGACAGGAGAGGAACAGAATTAGGCTGTAGGAAAAAGGATTGGTCCTGTCAGCTTTGGGAGGGCAGCCCCCATAGCCAGAGATGGGCTCTGATTGTAGCAGGAAACTGATGCAGACAGAAGACTCCAGGCACCAGTTGGAAGAGGAAGCGGCTTTATTTCTCCGGCCAGGAGACTCGGCAGACTAGTGTCCAAAAAACCGAGCTCCCCTGACTTAATCTCTTGCCTCTTTTTTATACATTTTTTAGGGCTAGGGTGAAAGTTATAAAAGATGTGAGAGACGTGACAAACGTGAAGGTCTCGGGACTCAAGGGGAAGGTCAGGTTGGCCCGCGCCCTTGAGACCAGTCGGGCTACCTGCCCTCAAAGGCCCTTCCACAACGTGGAAAGTTAAGGAAGTTACAAGGTTACTATCTAGGCCCAGCACATGTCAACGGAAGGGCAAACAGATAACAGAGATATCTGCTACAGTAGAGGTAGGAGTGTTACAGACGGTTTGGCTAATGCCTATACAGGGTGACTAGGACAGATCTTTAGCTCTGCTTCTACTCTCTTGCCTCATGATGACAGGAAGTAAATGCTGCTAAAGGGGCAAACTATGCCAGGTCTGGGCCACGTCTCTGCAGCCAAGGGTCTCCACATATCCACTGAGGGAAGCATTCCAGGATCTAAAAAGAAAAAAAAAATCACTGGGCGCATGTGCCTATGTTTCAGTGAGTAGGGCACCAGCCCCATATACTGAGGTGGTGGGTTCAAACCTGGCGCTGGCCAAACTGCAACAACAACAACAACAACAACAAAAATAGGTGGGCATTGTGGCAGGCGCCTATAGCCCTAGCTACTCAGGAGGCTGAGGTAAGAGAATCACTTAAGCCCAAGAGCTGGAGGTTACTATGAGCTGTGTGACTCTATGGCACTCTACCAAGGGCGACAAAGTGAGACGCTATCTTAAAAAAAAAAAAAAATCAGTGAATCTTAAAGCTGGTTGGTTATTCAAAGCTACTTTGTGCCAAGTCCCTTTCTGGTGATGGGGATACAGCAGTGACTATAGGACCTACCCTTGGGGAGTTCACAATCAGGTGGGCCAGAGCAGCAAGTAAATCAGCTAATCAAAATAACTGTGTGGCTTGCATCTGTATTCCCACCACTTTGGGAGGTGGAGGCAGGAGGATCTCTTGAAGTCAAGAGTCTGAGACCAGCCTAAGCAAGAGTGAGACCTCAACTCTACAAAAAAATAGAAAAGTTTGGCTTGGCATCCTTAGCTCAGTGGTTAGGGCCAGCCACAAACACAAGGGCTGGTGGGTTCAAACCCTGCCCAGGCCTGCTAAACAACAATGACATCTACAGCAAAAAAACAAAAAAAAAACAAAAAAAAAACCCAAAAAATTTGTCGAATGTGGTGGTGCACACCTGTAGTCCCAGCTACTCAGGAGGATGGCTCTAGTCCAGGAGTTTGAGGTTTCTGTGAGCTAGGCTGCCACCACTATGCTAGCCTGTCACAGAAAACACACCGGACACGCACAGAAGAAGCCCTACCTCCAGCTACAAAGGCGGGGGGGGGCCGCATTTTTTAGAAGGGAGAAGTTGGGGTGTGGTTGGGGAGTGGTGTCCTAGTGGGACCTGATGGTGAGGCGCAGCCAGTTTGCCCAGTCGTCAAAGATGATTTGGCCCTTCCTACCTCCGCCTTGTTCTTAAGAGGAAAGAGCCTCCAAGACCAGAGTGACCTGCCCACGTGCTGGGTCCGAAACCTCTGGCTTTTGCGACGAAAAGAGGTAGGGGACACCCGAAGGGTATCCAGGTGAGCCAGGCTATAGCAAGGGGGCGCCCTGTCTCCGTCCATGCAGGCTCGGCCAGCTCCTTCTCACCCGGTCTTAGGCAGGGCTCTGCATCGCTCCCCTTAATAAACAAGTTAGTGCCCGGGCACCAAGCAGCAGGGCTCCCTGGCTGGTTTCCAGTGTCGGCTTTACTACTGACTCGTATGGCGATCTCTCATCTCTACGCCTCACTTTCCCCATCTAAAAAAATGGGATTTCCAATGCTTCACCCTCATCTGGCTTTGGGACTCTGAGATTTTTTGTTTGTTTCTTATTTTTTGGAGACGAGTCTCACAGTTGCTCCAGACTAGAGTGCAGTAGCATCAGCCTAGCGCACAGCAACCTTAAATTCCTGGGCGCAAGCGATTCTCCTGCCTCAGCCTCCTAAGAAGCTGGGACTATAGGCGCCCACCACAATGCTCCCTAATTTTTCTACTTTTAGTAGAGACGGGTGTCGCCCTTGCTCAGGCTGGTCTCGAACTTTTTGAGCTCAAGCAATCCACCTAACTTAGTTTCCCAGAATGCTAGGATTACAGGCCTGAGCCACCACCTCCGGCCTGGGGTGTTTAGAGATTGACTTTACTGGGGAGAGGATCCCACAGGACTGTGGCCAGGAAGGCCAGGCAGTTGGGTTTCCCAAGTCGGTCCCATTCCGTAGATTCGGGAGCAATTTGCCCTGCGACACCTTCGAGAACTACATTTCCCGACATGCAGAGGGGCCACGGGGCCTGCCGCTTTCGGGTCACGTGTTACTAGGCCCGGGAACTACGACTCCCAGTAGGCTTCACGGCCCAAAGCCAAACGGCCCGGATCCGGAACCGGATATGGCTGGTGGCGAAGCGCCGGGGAAATGGTGAGATTGTGGTCAAGTGCTGGGGCTAGAATATCTGGGGCAGAGGTGTCTGGGGTGAGGTCCGGGGTCTGCTAGGGGGCTGGGGCACACGGAACCAGGTTGCTTCCCCTCCTTCCCCACTGTACTCATGAAAACGCAGAGGCTCGGCCTCTCCCAGCTTAGAAGCATCCCTAGTCAGCCCTCTGTAGCTGCGGTCCCCAACCCCAGGACGGCGGACTGGTACCAGATCCATGGCCTGTTAGGGACTGAGCCGCAGAGCAGCAGATGAGCGGCGGAGAGAGCCAGCGAAGCTTCGTTTGTATGTGCAGCGGGTCCCCATCCCTCACATCACTGCCTGAGCTCTGCCTCCTGTCATGTAAGCCAGAGCATTAGATTCTCAAGAGGAGCCTGAGCCCTGCTGTAAACTGCGCATGCGAGGGAATTGGTTGCACTCACCTCGAGAATCTAATGCCTGACGATCAGGGGTGGAGATGTAATGTACTTGAATCTTCCCGAAAACATCCCCACCTTCTTCCCCGTCTGTGGAAAAATTTTATTCCGTGAAACCGGTCCCTAGTGCCAAATAGGTTGGGGGCCACTGCTCTATAACATCGCGGAATGAATGGGAAGCTTAGAGCATAATAAGGCCGCGACGCTCTCGGTCTATTAGTGCACCTAAATGGTGAGTCGCTTCATCAGCTGAGCCCTCGCTTTTCTTCAGGCCACAGGGACAGACCAGGTGGTGGGACTTGGCCTTGTCGCCATTAGCCTGATCATCTTCACCTACTACACGGCCTGGGTGATTCTCTTGGTATGTCTGTCTTCCCCAGTCCTCAGCTCGATTTCTGTCTCCTTGGAATTTGAAGCCGACCCCCAGCATCCTTTAAGCAGCTACCCAGTGTCAGGTGCTGTAGGTGGTGTTCCTGCCCGAGTTTATGTGGTGTCAGTGTTAGATGAGGAAACAGGCTCAGAGTCTGGCCCAAGGTCACATCCTTCACCTCTGCTTTAAAGCCCCGTGTTTGGCTTGCTTTGCTTTGGGGAGGAGTTCAGGTTCTTCTGGTTAGCCTGTTAGCTTGGGCATGGCAAATACCAGTAGATTTTGTGAGGGCTTTTAGGATGTATTTTTTCTTGTTGGAAAAGGAAGTGCAGTGTGTTTAGAAAGCAAAATCTTGCAGAACTGTCTGAGTCACGGCACCAAACAAACAAACAAACAAACAAAAATTTTGCAGAATTTGGTTTCCTTTGTAGGAAGATGTTAGTAAAGAAGACATGGGAGCCCAGGTTGTGGGTCACTTAAGGATTCCTCATGTACCTTGTGCTAGACTGTGAGTGTCTTAGGGCAGGTCTCTTGTCTTCTGTTCACTGCTAGGTTTCCAGCTTTCCCTAAGTTGTTAGAGCAGCCACCAAATGAGTGCCCAGTAAAGAACTGTTAAATAAATGAATGAAGGAAATAAACTACAGTTTCCTAGATCCCATCATTCTAAAGATGATAGGGCCCTGAGATGGTGGGGGTGGGATGTTTGGGCTTGGGGGCTGAGCAAGATGATTGCTGCTCACCTGAGCTCTGCTCTGGTTGCCAGCCATTCATTGACAGCCAGCATGTCATCCACAAGTATTTCCTGCCCCGAGCCTATGCTGTTGCCATCCCCTTGGCTGTTGGCCTCCTGTTGCTACTGTTTGTGGGTAAGTCACTCCCAGCCCCAACCCTGGGCAGGGTATCTAGAGACCCCCACTTATGTAAATACCTCCACAATTGCTGTATATCTATCTGCTTGAGGCTCCTTGCCCCCAATTCTCCTCCAGGGTTTTCCTGTTCCTCCTTCAGGGCCACAGTCAGTAACTCCTCTGGGCTTTCCAATGCCTCAGGGATTTGGGACTCTAATGGCTTGTCCCCCTTTTTACTACTCACCCATCATTCTGCTCATACTTCACTCTCACCCTTTTGTCACCCTGGCTTCTAATTCCTGGACCTCTGTGTCTCTCATGCCTTCCAGAGGATGGGGACTATATCTCTATTGTTACTGTGTCCTCAGCACCCATCACAGGAAAGTATGAGTAGAGAGGGAGACCCCATCTCTACTAAAAATGAAAAACTGAGGCAAGAGACTTACTTGAGCCCAAGACTTTGAGGTTGCTGTGAGCTATGATGCCATGGCACTCTACCAAGGTTGACAAAGTGAGACTCTGTCTCAAAAAAAGAAGAAGAAGCCTGAATGATGGGGTAGATATGTGGATGGGTAGATGTTGGGTGGGCAGATGTTGATGGGGTGATGGATAGATAGGTGAGTCTTGTTCCCCCTTGGAATCTGAAACACTAAATGCAGCATCTTGCCTGAGGTAGGCACTAAGTTAGTGTTTGTAGAGTGAATGTGAGTGGATGTATGGCTTAAATGACTAGGTAGGCAGCAGGTTCCCTGGAGGGTGGTTGGGTAGGTACATGGCCTCACATTTGGTTTGTTCTGGGTCCATATCTTACCTGACTATTCTCATCTGTATATTCCAGGATTGTTCATCACCTACGTGATGCTGAAGAACCAGAGGGTGACCAAGAAGACTCAGTGAAGCCCCAGCAGGGATAAGGCTGCCAAGCCCTTTTCAGCGTCCTCTCCAGGGCAGGGATCAAGGGTGGAAGCCCACAGGATCAGTCCAGACACTGTGGCCCCTTCCAGCTTGGCTGCCATCCAGATATCCCTGTGGGATGGAGCTGTTCAGGACTCCCCCCTGACTGACCAGAGCCCCATTCCTCCTCTGCTCACCCTTCCAGAAGCCAGGAGGAAGGAGCATCTGTAAGACTCTCTTACCCCCTCTGGCCAAGGCATGAAAGATGCTGGTCCTCCCCATCTCATTTTCAGACTCCCTGTCGCTTTTTCATCTGAGTTCTACCGTCTTACCTCAATTTTCTTGCTTTCACATGCTGATATTGAACTTAGCAGGTCCTGAGTGGCACACGGCCTTTCCAACCTCTCCTCACAAGTCCTACTTCTCTACAAAGGCTGCTTTCCTTGGCCTCACAGAGCCCCAGACCTCACAAGGACTTCTGGAAAGCCTAGGAGAAGGCCTGACAGACCCCAATACCATCACCACCTCTTAGCAAACCAAGGAAGCCACACTGGGCCTGCCAACCAACTACTCCTCATGAAACCTAGGATCTCAGCTCCGGGGCTGGTCTGTTTGGGGAGCTTACCAATAAACACTGATGTTCTGTATGTCTCTGTGCCATCTTCACCAGAGGAGGGGATTGAGGAAGAAACCCCTGCATTGGTCTCATGTCTGTACAGTGAGGGTGCCTCAGGTCCTTCTCTGCCCTGTCCCTGTGCTGGACACTGGGGATAAAGTGGGGACTAAGACAGATGTGCTTCCAACTCAGTAGAATCCATGACTTCAAAGGCCATAGAGGCCCTGACATGTCTCTGCTGTGCATCTCCTGTGCCAGTGTGGCCCCGATTGAATGCTTGGGCCATTCTCCTAAAAGCCCAAACCTGTCCATCTCTTGCATGTGCAGCCCAACTTAGCCCTGCCCTGAATAGCCTGTCAGCAATCCTCCAGTACCTCAGCAGCCTCTCCCAGCCCCCACAGCACCTAATGTAAATGTGCCTCCCACACCTGAGACGAGCACGCTTCCTCAGTGGAGGCTTCCCTCTCATCACAGAGTGGACACGCCTACCTTCTGCCTATTCCACCTCTCCTCTGTCATCTAGTCCAGGTGGAGCTGCTCACTTGGGCTTTGGGTCCTTTCCCCCCACCACTGTGGCAGAAGCCTGTCACCAAAAGTCCCTGTCATGGGAACAAGCTCTGCCTCTTCCAGTGTTTCCCGAATGTACTCCAGGCTCCCATTTCCAGGTCTCTGCATCAACTAGCAACTCCTTCCAGGTTCCTTCTCTCCTTTACCCTCAAACTTCTCCAAAGGGTGTCAACACCTACCACTACATTTCTTCTTTTTTAGAAAATAACTTCATTTTTCTTTTATTTTATTTATTTTTCAGTTTTTTGCCGGGGGCTGGCTTTGAACCCGCCACCTCCGGTATATGGGGCTGGCGCCCTACTCTTTTGAACCACAGGTGCCGCCCTGCCACTGCATTTCTTCCTTTCCCGCTGTGCTCAGCATCTGCCCCCATCACTCATGAGGCCACCAGTGATATCCATTTTTTAAATCCCAAGGACATTTCCTTAATCCTCGACCACACTGGGTGCTTGGCAGCCCTGTGGATCTGCTCTCAGATGCTCTCCTGGTGTCTGTGAGTTCTACTTGATGTCTCTCATGTTCTCTTCTGTCATGAGCTGCTGGGCACCTTAGGACCCAGTTGCAGGCTTTGTCACCACATGCTCTCCCTGGTGATTCCATCTTTTCCCAGGTTGTCCCAGCTCTCCTTTGAGCCCCACATGCCTCAGCTGCCCATCTGACATCCTCATTGGATGTCATGGTGGGACCTCGAATTCATCCAGTCATGAGCTGAATTCTTAGACTTTCCCCAAATCTGACTCTCCTCTTGTGCCCTGCCCCTTTTTGTGGCTGGCATCCTGTCTCTAACAGTGGCTTTCTTCCCTCAGCCCCCAATAAGACCCCAAAGTCTGTCAATTCCCCCTCTCTCCCCCAGCAACATTTTGGATGCAGCTACTCTGCCCTAAGTCACTGACAACTTCCTAACCACTCTCCTCCACCGGTACTCTGGCCCCTTTCCACCTGACTATGAACAACAACCAGTGGCCTTTCAAAAACCTGTATCCAAGCGTCTTACTCAGACTCCCTCATGATGCTTCTCTGGGTCCCCACCTGTCTCCCCACCATAGCTTACAGGACCTTGCCTGCCCAGTTGCTTTCTGTGTCCTGCTCTCTCCAGCCATGCTGGCCTTTCACTTTCTGGGACTCACCCAGGCCCTGTGCACACCCTACTCACACTGGTTCAAAATGAGACTGGTGTGGTTCCTGCCCTGTGGCATTTCCATTCTAGTGGGAGGGGTAGTAAACAAATGAACAAGACAATTCCTGACATCTAACGGTGATGTGATCAAGAGTGTGAGGAGCTGGGAGGTTGAGGAGGGTAGATTGCCTGAGCTCACAGGTCAGACTAGCCTGAGGAAGAGCAAGACCTTGTCTCTAAAAACAGCCGGGTGTTGTGGTGTGCGCCTGTAGTCCCAGTGACTTGTGAAGCTGAGGAAAGAGATCACTTGAGTCCAAGAGTTTGAGGTTGCCCATGAGCTATGATGCCAGAGCACTCTATCAAGAGCAACAAAATGAGAGCTTGTCTCAAAAAAAAAGGGTGGCGCCTGTGGCTCAGTGAGTAGGGCGTCAGCCTCATATACCGAGGGTGGCAGGTTCAAGCCTGGCCAAATTGCAACAAAAAAATAGCCAGGCGCTGTAATGGGCACCTGTAGTCCCAGCTACTTGGGAGGCTGAGACAAGAGAATTGCCTAAGCCCAGGAGCTGGAGGTTGCTGTGAGCTGTGAATCCACAGCACTCTACGGAGGGCAACAAAGTGAGACTCTGTCTCAAAAAAGAAAGAAAGAGTGAGTGCGGGGAGGGGATCCCTTGTTTAGAGGAAACCGGAGGAATGAAGCAAGTGAGAGGCTGGGGAAATGGCTAAGGAACAGTAGGAGACTGTGTGCTTGGGTAGTGTACTTGGGTGTAGTAAAAGTGAACAGAGGGGCCTGGAATCATGGTGAGGGGTGTGGATTTTGTTCCATTGCCCTGGAACGCTACTGGAGGCTTTAAGTATGAGAGTGACATTGTCTGATTTACGCTTTTAAACCATCACGCTGGCAGCTGTGTCTCTCCCTCTTGCTCATCACTAAATCCCCAGGGCCTAGCACTACTGGCTCAAAGTGGGTATTCAAAATATGTGTGTTGAATGAATGGATGCCCCTGGCTTCCCGTGTGACCTGGAGGTAGTCACTTTTTTCTCTGGATCTTAGTTTCCTCACCAGAAAGACAGTCAATGGGAATTTCACGCCAGAGTACGTGGGTAGGACAGGATTTAAGTTACTTGCCTCCTCATGCGGCCCAGAGACCCGAATTCTCACCCCTGCGGGGAAAATGGGGCGCTCTCCTTCCCGGAGACTGTAGCCAGGGCCCGGCGGCGCCGCCCGGCCAGGACCGCGGTTCCGAGGCTGCTGCAGCCGCGGGGGCGGGACCCACAAAGCAATAGCCGGCGCCCCCAGTGCGGATTGGGTGCAGCCATGGTTGGCGCCTCACGATTGGTAAGTCGTAAGGCAGGGGCGGGGCCTGGCTCCTGCAGCGGGGCAGCAGGGAACGCGGCCAAAGCCCGCAAAGCAGCAGCGGGGGCTATGGCTGCGCCGAGCCCGGGGCCCCGCGAGGTAGGTGCAGACCCAAGAGCGGACGGGAGAAGAAGGGGTAGCGGGCAGGGTCCAGGCCTCTCCTCTGTGAGCGGCGCGGACACGCCTCCATCCAAGCCAGGGAAGGGCACTGCACTGGGCTAAGACCAGGACACTCCCCTTGCGGGGAGGCTGGTATGAAGGGGGAGGTCTGACGGGTATTCCGGAGGGTTTCGGCAGTTTCCTTATCGCAAAAATGGAGATGATAATAAAAGCTGCTCCTTCAGAGGCTGTTAGGAGGTCAGGCTCTCAGCCGGTGCGGGGCACATAACGAGTGCCCACTGTCAGCTGGTGTGATCTCAGCATCGCTGACCCTCTCCACTGGCCTAGGAGAGCTCAGCATAGACAAGGGGAGTAGATTTGACTGAATCACTGCATCACAGCTCCTACCATCAAGGGTACATGTGCAAAGAGCTCAAATCCAACAGCAGCAACAGTTAATACCTGCCAGGAAGTAGTTAGAGTTCTCTTGTTATAGATGAAAAGAAAAGACAAGGAAAATTGAGGTGACTTACCTAAGGTCACACAGCTGGTAAGAGACCATCAGTCTGGGGCCAGGTTTCACTGCCAAACGTATGCTGTCCCGACTGATAATGGAATCACCACCCTATTTGGGTGTTGACTATGTGCCAGACACTGTGTGGCCCCCCACAAACATCTGGTGAGATGAGTACCAGCATCATCCTGATTTTATAACTGAGGAAACTGAGGCAGAGAGCGATGAGGGAGTCTCACAAGTAGTGGGAATGGGACTTGATCCAAAGTCTTTCCTCTCTGAAATGCTGCCACATCGTCTTTGCTTCCTGTGCCTTCCCATGCTAGATTCTGGACCCCTTCCCAGAGGCTCCACGTAGAGCACCTACCTCCAACTCTGGCTGCCGTGGGCTCCTCTGGCGCCTACGAGACAAGCAGTCTCGCCTGGGCCTGTTTGAGATCAGCCCAGGTCATGAACTGCATGGGATGATGTGTATGATGCAGGCGGGACTATGGGCTGCCACTCAGGTCTCCATGGATCACCTCCCTACGGTGAGTGGCCAATCTGTCCCATGCATCCCCACGACACCAATGGAAAGACTGAACTGGTGCCCTGTCTTGCTAATATTGCAGATGAGGGGGTCAGAGAGAGCAATTCAGGGGAGAAGACAGGGAGGGAGGAACATTCTGGTGGAATTTGGAATGCCCAGTGTATGTTGGGAGTATGTAGAGCCCCTTGACTCAGGGTTGCTGTGTGGCACTAGGTATGCCTCTGCCTCTCTCTGGGCCCCAGTGTTCCCATCTGTATAATGGAGGGGGATTGTGCTCTGTGGTTTCTGAGGCCCTCCCAGCCCTGACAGAGTGTATAGTTGAGAAGGGACACCACCCCCACTCTGCTAGTCTTATCCCTCTGTGGAGCTCAGGCTGGGGCCAGTCTGGCTCAGCAGAAAGAGTTACCCAACTGCAAACTCAGCAGCTGGGCAGGCGCGAGTAAGCATGAGTGTTGTTTATGTGTGTGCACAGTGTGACCACATCCCACAGACCAAGTCCTGACAGAGGTACCTGTAGGTCCAAGGACTGTGGGGGTCCAAGAGAGTCCTTTAAGCCATAACCTGACCTCATCACTAGCTGAAAATCTTCCATGGCTCCCCAGTACTCAGCGTGGCCTCAATAGCCTGCAGGCTCCAAGGGCTAACTGTTCAGCCTCATTCCTACTCCACACCTCCCTTACTGGCTTCAGCCACTTAGCCAGCCTTTCTCTTGATGGTGGCCACAATGCTGTTTCCAATACCAGGAGCACCCTTCTCGTCCTCTCTACTACCCTTCTGCTTTCAGCTCAGAAGTCACTGCCCCTAGGAAGCTTCTCTGATCCTGCCCCTCCCAGGCTGCATCAGGTGGGTCC